ACGCAGTTCAATTCTGGTCACGGTATTATAGAATGGATATAGAATCGTTGGAAAGAATTCAGAGGCGAATGACAAAACTAATCCAGGGCATTAGGAACCTTGAGTACAGAGACAGGTTAAAGCATCTTAATTTGCACTCCCTCGAGAAACGTAGAGTGAGGGGCGATGCGATCGAGGTGTATAAATGGAAGTCAAGGCTTAACCAAAGGGGACATTACAAAGTTACTCAAACTTTCCAACCAGGAGCGAACTCGTAACAATGGTTTTAAATTAGACAAATTTAGATTTGGGCGCGAAATAGGTAAACATTGGTTTGTAAATAGAGTAGTGGACGACTGGAACAAGTTACCAAATATCATCATTAACTCGAATACGCTGGATAGCTTGAAACTTAGGTTGGATGGATATATGAGCAATAGGGACTGGGTGTAAATGGGACTGCCCAGTATGGGCCAATAGGCCCGTTGCAGTTTCCTTCATTCTTTTGTTCTTATGTTCTTCTTAAGTCAGCCAAGATGTCTTTTTATCTCATGAAAGTGCACGGCCTCCATTTGCCTAGTGAGGAGGCAGCTGAGATAATTAATAACCACTTTGCTACCATATGTCATACCCTACCCAGTCTTGACCTCACTCTCCTCCCAGCTTACTTACCTTCCCCCCCCCCATCCCTCTCAGTGTTCAACCATTTGAAATTGCCAACAAACTCCTGAAATTTAAATCCAAATGCTCCACAATCCCAATTGACCTCCCAATCAAAATTTAGAAGGAGTCTGTAGTCGAACTTGCCACCCCTCTCTGTTCTATTATTAATGCATCCCTCAGACAAAGAAAATGCCCTAGTGAATGGTAAACCGCATTTTTCACCCCTATCCGCAAAGTTCCCACCCCACAGCCCCCTTAACGACCTCAGGCCAGTTGCCATTACCCCCATAACCAGTCTACTCTGTGAAGACTGTTTTTGAGTGGGCATTATCTCGTATTTATCAGTCAATTGATCCACATCAATTTGGCAATATGAAAACCTCCTCTACATCACACTACTTAGTTAGTTTCCTGGATTTCCTGCAGAAAAACCTGCAGAAACTTAAGACATCACTGGCCGTGGCCCTTGTTGACTTCAGGAAGTCTTTTGACCTTGTTGATCACAGCACTGTTATCAACAAGGCCATTGAACTAGGGCTGCACACCAACCTGGTCTCATGGCTCACAGATTTCCTGAGTGAGAGTCATCATCCAGTCAGGTACCAGGGTTTTGTCTCCACATTTCAACACCTCACCTAAGGTGTTCCCCAGGGGACCAAGATGGGACCACTGTGCTTCCTAATCCTGATCAACGACGCTCTGTCGGACACTCCTCACAGGTGGAAGTACGTGGATGACTGCACTGTGGGGGTTTCAGTGGACAATACCTTACCGGACTACTCATCGCTACAAGGCACTTTGGACAGGCTACAGGCATGGACTACGGAGAGCAAGGTCACCATCAACCACACCAAAACCGTAGTCATGCACACCAATACCGCCACCACTCCAGTGCAAGCTCCAGCAGTCACAGTGGGTGCCCATCCTCTCCAGTTAGTGCAGTCTGCCAAACTCCTGGGTGTTACCATAGACCACAAACTGGACTGGAAGACCCATGTAAACACAATCAAGGCAGCCTCATACCGACTCTACATGCTACGACGACTCAGGTCACTTGGGGCACCCACGCCAGAGCTGAGGACTATCTACAACGCCTTTATGCTCCCCAAATTAACGTATGCGTCTCCAGCCTGGTCGTCTTCTCTCAACTCTACCCAACAACGTCAGCTAGAGAAGGTACAGAAAAGGGCCTGTAGAATCATGCTCGGCGCAGACTACTCCGGCTACAACAACGCTCTCTCCACCCTGGAAATGCCATCCCTCAGAGACCTCCACCACCAAGCACTAGCAAGGTTTGGCAGTGGACTACAGCACCATCCACGTCATCGCTCTTGCCACCGGCAGTCCCCCGCCCACCTCGCGCAGTCCGCCACTACAACAAAATTCAGCCCATAAAAGCCGGCATTGATAGATATAAGAATAGCAGCATCCCATCTATTGTTAAAATAATAAACAACTCCTGATTTATGTATTGTACAGCCCTGTAAATGTATTGAACGCATATCATTATGTCTAAATCACATGTAAGTTTGTATATTTTCAGCCACCGGCTGGAACTCTATCAATAAACCGTTTATTATTATTATTATTATTAATTATTATTATTATTATTATTATTATTATTATTATTTTTATTATTTACTGTATGTTGTTAACCTTCACACACACACACACACACACACACACACACACACGATGTTAACCTTCACACACACACACACACACACACACATGAAGTTAACCTTCACACACAAGTTGTTAACCTTCACATACACACACACACATGTTGTTAACCTTCACACACACTAATGCTGGTGGAATCCAGTACAGCGTGGAATTAATATGACTCAGATTTATTTCAATATTCGATTTTGAAAGAAACCCAAGACATCACGAGGTAAGTAAACACGAAAACAGGACGTGACATAACAATGTGAAATTAATTTAGATAAATATTAATTTTGAAAATCCAAGAACTGTTGATGTTTACATGTAGTGAGATAAATTTAACGTTTGGTAATTCCGTCGATATATAAATTGTTTCTAGTGAATAAACGATATTTGTAAAGAGTTAATTAATAATTCCTTGGATAAACATTTTAACGGGGGATACATGAAGCAGTAAACGGCAAAAACAGTTGTAATGATTATGACTATGAGTTATTCATCTAAAGTGAGCCAGACGTCCTTGGATCATCCTAGAACCTGGGTCAGTGGTTCCCATACTCGGGGTAGGATATAACTCATGGGTTCGCCTTGGCCTTACTATTCTACACTGTAATAAAAATATATGCCTAAGATCAAACCCAGTGGCTCCAGGAATACAAGGAGACCGCTACACATGAACCATACGGCGGTCGGCAAAGTTAAAAAGAAAACTTATGATTTCGAGACGTGGGTTAGGACAAATGGTGAGCAGGACAGGGGGATGCATGCCGGATCGAGGAACCAAACAAAAGCAGAGAGTAGAAGGGCTGAAAAAGAGTTCCAGAGGCAGATTGCTAGTGAGGTCAAGCCAACCCCAAAGGCTTTTTTCCGCTAAGCAAAGTCGAGATTAAAAACACGAGTAGGCATATCGGACCTGCATGAGGCTTGAAGATGGTAGTTATTCAGATTCTGACCAGGATAAGGCGGAGGAGTTGAATTTTTTTTTCATCGCTGTTCACAATAGAGGATGCGAACGAACTTTCTGCGTTTGAGGAAAGACGGTTTGACACAGAGCTGACCCACATTGTGTTCACAGAAGAGAATATAAGAAATAAATTGTCAAAGGTAAAGATTTACAAGAGTCCCGACCCTGAAATGGTGCATCCCAGAGTGTTAAGAGAACTGTGTAACGAGCTTGTGGAGCCCCTGAAGATCCTGTTCTGCAAAGGCCTGCAGGAGCAAAAGGTCCCCGACGACTGGAAAATGGCTTATGTGAATCCTATATTCAAGAAGGGCGATCGTCACTCCGCGAATAATTATGGACCAGTGAACCTGACCGGCATAGTATAAAAAATACTAGAGAGCATCATCGTAAGAGATGCCATGGTGGAACATCTGCTACAAAACAACCTTGTAAAGGAATGCCAACATGGTTTTATGCTGGGAAGATCCTGCTTAAAATAATTATTCAAGGTACTTGATGTTTAGACTCAAATTGTAGAACAAGGCGGAAATATCGACATTGAATACCTAGATTTTGCCAAGGCTTTCGACAGTGTACTCCATGAAAGGCTGAAAATTAAACTGGAAAGGTACGGGATTCGGGGAAGTGTCCTAGTGTAGATCGGAGGTTTTCTGCATTACCGCAAACAGTACGTGGTGATAAATGGTACGAAATGGTATCCCGCGAGTCATAGGTGTGACTCGCGGGATACCACAGGGCAGTGTATTGGGCCCGTTGTTGTTTGTCTGTTTCATTAATATGCCAGAAGCTATACACTCCTTCCTACAAATGTTAGCGGACGTTGCCAAGTTATTTAGGGAAATTAAGAACCAAATAGACTGTGGAGATCTGCAGAAAGAGCTCTATGAGCTTCAAGAATGGTCGAAGAAATGGTTGCTAAGATTCAATGTCACGAAGTGCAAAAGGATGCATCTGGGTCGCACCAATAGTAAGGAGGCGTATCACATGTCCCAACTGGATGAAGAGACTGCATTAATTGAGACCGAATGTGGAAAGGACCTGGGTGTGTATGTCGACAATGAACTTAAGTTATCTGGCCATTGTGAGAAGAAGGTGAATCAGGCAACGAAACTAGTAGGTCTTATAAGAAGGTCGTTTAGTTATCTGGATGGTCCGTCGCTCGTCACGATCTTCAAGAGTGAGGTGCTTCCCCGTCTGGAGTATTGTCATCCCGTCTAGACCCAGAGGTTTGCTAGATATTGTCAATTGATTGAAAATGTTCAAAGGATGGGAGTGGTGCCTGCTCTACGGAACCTCCGTTACCCAGAGAGATTGGAGCACCTGCAACTACCTAGCTTACACTACAGACGGGCGAGGGACGATCTAATCGAAGTGTATAAACATCTCAGGGGGCACTACTGGTCGAATGTACATACCTGGAGCTGGTGGACGTCCGCTCAACAAGGGGTCACGGCTCAAGGTTGAAGAAGCCGCTAGTCCAGAAAGCTGTGAGGGCATTTTTTTTCTGATCGAGAATTGTGAACTCTTGGAACAACCTACCAGAGTGATGTGACGGCACTGAGTGTGAGTTCATTCAAGACCAGACTTGACCAACACTAGTGCAAGTTCCGATATATTCAGGAGCCAGTGCATGCCCAGTATCTGCCAACAGTGAGTATCAGAGACGCGACCGACCGCCCAAGCGGCTAACGAACCGATCAGTGGCGAAGAGGATTAAAGTAAAAAGTCAAAGTAATGTCACACCGTTTTATAAAACAGCAAAGTTACCGATATGATATTTAAAGAAAAATATTGTAACGCGTACTATACGTAATGGGGTGGGGATTTAATGGGAGGAACTTGGATAATGTTGTTGTTATAATGTTATTACTGTGATTCAACAACGAAGGTTAATAATACACTAGTCCAACAACATTAAAAATTATGTAGGTTAATGTTGATTCCTATAAACTAACACTCCCCACGAAATATCATATTTAAGTCCACTGTTTGTATATGTGGTTTGTTTTCGCTGTCATAGGGGTTTACTGTAACAGGTAAATAATAATAATAATAATAATAATAATAATAATAATAAGATCAGGGCAAGAAGGTCATCGTAAATGGCGTCGTACACCCCATGACTGTTCTTGTGACCCACATCGGGGACTGGGGGGCGAAAATTTAATAATTATTCATAGTAAATACTATTTATAATAAAAAGTAAAACCAAATATTAATGATAATAACAAAAATAATAATAATAACACTGTAATAATAATAATAATAATAATAATAATAATAATAATAATAATGAACTATAAAAAAATAAAAAATAAATAAATAAATAAAATAGTGAAAAACGCTAAATGTATGTTGGTATGTTGTGTTGTCAAGTGAGAGAAACAATTGAGACCCTGCAATTGTGTGTACTGTAAATGAGGCAGAAAGTCAGCTCAGCAACCTGAGACTTGGTCACAATTTCTTGATGCCATATCGCGGCAGGGTCTACCATTAGACAACACATTATGCTTCCAATATCTTCCCTGGCGGCAGTACCTCCCTGTTTGGTAGCTGCCTACTACCTGTTTATTGCAATGCCGCGATTATGTATACATACTGCAGGACTTCTCCAGTCTCCATCTTTCTTTTTTATGAACATCTCGGCATGTAGATAATTACAATAATCTATACGTGAGGACTAAGGCGTATTATTAGTTAGAACTTAACTTAAACAACGATATAAAAGAAACAGACAAAGTTTTAACATACTGTATAATAATTTATTCCGATTTAGTTACAGAACAAATAAATTAATTCTTTTTAGATAAGACGTCCATTGCTCTTTCAGGGTTTATCGGACGACGTTTATCTCAAGTAAGCAAGGCACACAACCACACACAATATATGAGAGAGAGATAAATAATATTTACTTATATATCGCTCTATTTACTCAGTTTTATTCTTTCAGACAAAATTAAAACATTTCGGAGATGGACGAAGGGGAGAAGATGAAAGAAGCGATCACAGAGGTGAAGGAAGATCCCCAGGAGTTGAAAGAAGGGAAGGAAGTGGTCCAGGAGGAGAAAGATGGGAAGGAAGTGGTCCAGGGGGAGAAAGATGGGAAGGAAGGAGACCTCTCGTGGGTCAACACCTTCGAGGACCTGTTGGAGGTAGTGGGCACCAACGGCCGCTGGAATATCCTTATGTTCATCATGTGTGTCACCTGTGAGTGTCCATCTGAGTCACTCTCTGAGTCACTTCTTGGTTTAATAACTAAACTAAGCGTCCACTGACTCACTAGGCTAAAGGATAGGCTAGGCTAGGTTAGGTTAGGTTAGGTTAGGTTAGGTTAGGTTAGGTTAGGGTGGTTAATCCTTAGGCGAAATATGCTAGGGTGTTAATATTCATGTGATACAACTACAGTAAACACACGGGTACTGGGAGTATAGGTCGAGTGTCTTCCTCTTAACAGCGGTGGCGATATCGCCGCTACAAACTTTGTCCTACCAGTTCCTCGGGGCGACACCTGACTACTGGTGCCACATCGCCCCCCTGGTAGAGGCCAACTGGACGGACCAACAGATACTCTCCCTCGCCATTCCTTACAGGTAAGACCTCGTTCTTAGTATTCGTAAGGAAGGAAGCTCTTCCCCTCACCATCATGATCCTCTACACCTCTTCAGTGAAACTGTTTAAATGAGCAAATTTTATCATGTATGAATAAATTTCCTTTAAGTTATTGTAAAAAGTAACTCAAAGTCCTTCTTGAGGAGGCGATTTGGGCCTTTATGACACCTAAGCTTTTTTAAGAAACAAGAGTAAGTTACACTAGTATACCCTGGAGGAGAAAAAGAAATCGAATGCGTTCACAAATCACCCCATTCCTTTTTCTATCATGGCAAGTAGCTACCCTGCCACGACCTTAGTTCTTACCCACAGACAAGGTTTATAAGCCTTGCCCACAGCAACTGTTTAAATTTACACAAGTAAACATGTTATCATCCGGGTATTTGGTTGCAGCAACTCTACAGGGAAGTATGAAGGATGCCAGATGCGCAACTACAACTACACGGCTGCGGCGCTGCTGGGATACGAAGCCACCATGAAGGACCCTTCCCTTGTACAGCATGGGAACACCACCACCATCATCAAATGCTCAGCCAGAGACTTTAACCACTCCCAGTACTCCTCCACCGTCGTCACTGAGGTTAGTTTAGGAAGCACATTTCAACAGGTTAGGATCCGTGTTGCCACATACAAGCTTGTTCCTACTGTATAACTATAAGCGGTTAATAGCCAGAGGAGCGTACTATTTATAGCAGGCAACCAAACATAGAGACGCGCCTCACCGTATTCGTCTCTGTAATATGGTTCTCGACCAACTTCCCTATATTTCTCTGGCAGTTGATAAGTATAATCCTGTGGAAATTCAGTTTTAAGCTGGCAGTAGTTAAACAGAATCACAGTTTATGTTAGGATGGCTGGAAGCTTCGGGTAATCGGTTTTATTGTCACTTATAGCGGGTAATCAAGTTTGTTTATCTACCAAGCGCGTTCACTGAGCACCTCGCCACATCCTTCGTGTGAAAATATCGACAGATTTTCTTAAAACTTATAGAGACATCACTGCTCCTATACACGCAGATGATATTAATGTATAGGCCGGTCTGGGATTACTCGTTTGAATTTTGGTGACCAGAAATATTCGTGTTCTAGTTTAAGGGAGTGACTTTCCACCCTGCCTTTACTGAGCTCTGCCAGGAATATATAAAATTTTGGGTGCTGTGCACTTTCGTTTAGCAGATATTTCATTTTAAGTATTGAGTTTATTCTAGGTATTTACATCATTTTAAGTATTGACTTCAATTTACGTATTGAAAATAATTTACATATTCATTCCATTTTAGGGATTAATTTTTTACTTTACTTTAGGTATTTGCAATTTTAAGTACTGTCTTTAGTTTAGGCAAGGTTATTTTTGGAGTTGACTACATTAGGTTATCTTGCTGTACTAGGGTGTTTCAGCTACCCTAAATTATTTTAGTTTATTTTTTTTTTTTGTGGGGGTGGGGGGGGGATTAGCCCACCCGGGCACAGGCCAATGACCCACATCAGGGCCTGGGGGCGAAGAGATACAATAATAATGATAATAATAATAATAATAATAATAATAATAATAATAATAATAATAATAATAATAATAATAATAATAATAATAATAATAATAATAATAATAATAATAATAATAATAATAATAATAAAATACTAAAAATATAAACAAAATCAATAGTAAGAAACGATAGATGTTATGTTGCGCTGTCAAAGAAAGAGAAACAATTAAGACCCAGCAAATGTGTGTAAATGAGGCAGAAAGTCGGATCAGTAACTTGGGACTTGGTCACAATTTTTGTGATGCCTCAGGGTAGCAGGGCCTACCATAGGCAATACATTATGCTTCCAATATCTTACCAGGTAGTAGTACCTCCCTCTTTGATATCTGCCTAGTACGTACTACCAACATGAACTATAGCTGTATTTGACAAACTACGCATTCAACTCAAGAGCGAATAAGGATACAATTACCTACAAAAATATTCACAGCTCGAGACATGTGAGTGATTATCACAAAGCGTTTCTTGTTTCCGGTTTTAATTTCGGTTTATCTATTTGTGTGTATATTTCTATGGCGTGGTGTGACCTGGTGGGCGTGGGTGCGATAGTGGGACCTGGTGTGCGACCGTCGGGTGCTGTACTCTACCACCCAGGGCGTGGTGGAGGGAGGCAACATCGTCACCTGCCTTGTCTTTGGCTACCTTATGGATACGTAAGTGTTAGAAGCTCTATAAGTCAATGTTGGCAGCCCTGTAACCCAGTGTTGGTATCCCTTGTAAACCAATGACGCACGCCTGTAACTAAGAGATGCCATGAATGTCGGTACTCCTGCAACTAACGCCCCACTGATGTTGTTAATATTGAGGATGCTCTAACTTATTAAGCCAAAGAGACATTTTAACTACCTTTAAGATTATATAGTTTAGAAGTACCTTTGACCATTCTTCCGAAAACAGGAGATTGTTGTCTGTATAAACAAGGATGTACATCTACGTAACTTGTGATTATGTGAACTTCAAGGACGCATTTGTTCATCCATGCCTCAAACACAACTTAAAAAATTTCCACGACACTATTTCCCTTAATGTCTGGTTATGTTCCAATGGAACATTTGTTTCAATACTTACGAACAGTATCGTTGAAAATTCTAAGGTATCGCTTAACATTTGCGTTTCGATTATATCCTCCTGGGTCCAGTTGGCCGTTTACTTTTGCAACTTGCTGTATTATCATCGACTTGCGAGTATCACTCAACTTCATTCACAAGTCCACCTCAACGCCACACTTACCTCAACACTCATGAAAAATTGCCATCACAATATTGAAGTATTGTAACAATAACAAACTAACAGTGTGTCTAATTATATCTCGTTAGAGCATTTACAGTTTTTCCAAAGAGATCTAATGCCTCGCTCTTGGTACACAGGTTCGGACGTCGTCCAATAGTGCTGGTGTGTGTGGTTATCAAAATCCTGACAGGTTTCTTGGCTGCTGCCTCGCCCACCCTCGAGGTTTACATTCTGCTCAAGTTCCTTGTCGCTGCCACTGACGCCGGGACATATCTTAGCATCTTCGTGTTCGGTAAGTTTGTTGTCCAGATGGCTTCCTGAAGCAGGTGTTGACAACATGACTGTCGCATGATCTTTATTATGTGTTAAAAATACAAGAATTGCATAACCCTGTCCGCCTTGTTTGTTTGCCTAGAGAGAGAGGGGGGGGGGGGAAGGGGGCTTCACTGAAATTTCCTGTAAGTTAGGTTAAGTTAGGTATGGTTAAGGTTGGTGTGGTTAGGATAGGACAGGGCTGTTAGATAATGCTTAGGTTATGGTTAGGTTTTACTACTTTACTTCCTGTTTCCTTTCTTTCCTCCTCTCTTTTTTCTCCTTTCTCATTGCATAGTCATTTGCCAGTTTACATCATCATCATCATCATCATCATCGTCGTCGTCGTCGTTATCATAGGATAGGTTGTGCTAAAACCGAGAGACTCAATGGTCGCTTGTACGGTTTTTGTCTTGTCCAGAAAAACTTGTAACCCACTTTCCTTCCTTCCTCGTCAGTGATGGAGATGTGTGCTATCAAATACCGAGCAGCAGTGGGTTGTCTTGTAGCAATACCGTGGGCCATAGGATACATGATAACCCCTGGTATAGCCTATCTGGTGCGTCCTTGGAGGTGGCTCCAGTTTGCCTACGCCTTGCCTTCCCTCTACTGCATCATCTACTTCTGGTGAGTCTACTGCCCGCATCATTTACGTGTATTGAATGGAATACTGTCACCAGTGCTACGAAGGGTATTTTCTTAATCTGAGTCCACACATATTACTACTATTTTTTTTTAACGTGGCGTCCAACCTCTCCCAACAGCCACACCTTCGCCGCCATTTTATGACCTGAAAATTAACTATCCTAATACATAAGTAGCTACCCTAGCTGTGTTGAGTTAGTTGAGCCGCAGGTCTATACGGCATTCAGTGACTGATGCCTCGTAGTCGATATCTGCGACTGTTGTCGGCTTTGAGGCCGATGCTCTCGTTCCTCTGAGGCAGAGCAGTGACGACCTAAGCATAGAGAAGGACAGTCGACATCTCAAACAGGCTGTAACATAAATTCTGGGCTGTTGCTTCTGTTCAGATAATACCTCCGCGAGTCTGGCATAGAAGCATCTTGCACCAGAGAAGTGAAGCTTCCTTGATCAACGTTCTGAATTCTCTCCCTCATATGCCCTAATCTTGTTGTTCACGTTCCTCCTGTGTGCAGCATCGAGAGCTAGGTTGCGGTGACATGCGGCGATGGGATAAAAAATCCTTATGTCGAAGACGGCTCGCTGTCCCCTCATCCAGAATACATGAGCACTGAAGTCAACACAGGCTTCGTTTTATGTGTTTGAAATCCCGAGTTGGAAATCCTCACCGTCCAATGGAAGGAGGGGGAGGTTATACCCTGACATCACGACAGATTTCCTTCAACATATTTGCAGTGAGATCCCTTACTTCGTCGAGCCTCATGCTTACCATGGCGTCGTCAATGTTGTAGGAAGAGCCACACACGCATTGGGAGGGCAAACCTTCCACTGACCTACCGTACTTCAGAGCAATGGCATCTGTAAATTCTTGTTTGTTACGACTGAAACCTTTTGCCCTTATCGGTAACGTAATTAGCCAGTTCGAGGCGCCATCACCTGTGCTATAGCTACTTTTTTTTTTAATTCTCTGGCACTTGCAACATCAGTTGCTGCAACTTATCACTTTGGCCGTGCTGTCGTTCTGTCGTAATGGACCGTTGGACTTGTTTACTTCGCTGGTATCCACCTCACCTGTTGCGTTCTGATCTATTATTTGGTCGGTGAGGGCTGCCGTGAGCTTGACTGAGTTTTGATGTTCGGTGGCAGCAATATTCTCTGGATTGGTCAATCCCATTCCTCCCAGTGTCGGTGGTAGTGGAAGGATTGACCTTACCACTTGGGTTAAGTGAAGGTGTTTCACTAATTTTGGAAAAAAAACTGACGCTGATGGCTTCTTCCAAAGGGTGGAGGAGGGGTCTGATATTAGGGGTAGTGCACATCAGGTAGTTCCAGCGATGCTCGACTCCATGGGTGAATGCCGCAAAAGCCGCCTGTGGCTCTGTTTTAGCAATATCTGACAGAGCTTGGATTTCTCAAACCCACTCATTTACCTCTCCCGTTACGTACTCGGTCTTGAAGTCCTTCGTGCCGATTACTGCACCTACATGTAGATGTCTTTGGCCGTCCTTTGTTATTTTGACCTCACTTCCACCGAACACCTCCACTGCCCGTTCATAGTGTTCTAGCTTCACAATGAGGAAGGACTTGCTGGCATTTGGGTGGTACCCTATTTGTGGATCATATAATGTTATCAGGTCCCACGACTTTTTGATGTCCTCCACTTTTCCTGCTCCTGTAAGGTCGTCAGCATGCGCCACTTGCTTGACTGCAGTTGTTTTAAACTTTATTGTGTGTTGAGCACGGATAGTCCTATTGCATACATTGTTATTGCAACAGGGTCCCCCTGCGTTGTTCCCTCAGTTGACTGTATGATGGTATCTCCTGTGATAGCCTTGATGCTTGTTATATAGAGGTTTGATGGATTCCTATTTGTGTTTTCAACATACATTGCAAAGCTTGGACACTTCACTTAATCTTGATGTTGTGCAGTGTAGCTTTGCGGTGGATTATGTTGAATGCGTTGGAAGCGTCAACCAGGAAAACTGCCTCACAATCACGCTGCTCAAATATCGTTCTCATGGCGTGAATGGCAGCTTCCCCTCCAGCCTGGTGGCCAGTACATACTTGCAGGTTGCCTGCAGCTGCCCTGACATCATCCTTTACCATCTCCATCATGCATTTTCCGATGATCCGCCTCAGCACTTTCCCTACCCCTATAGGCCTACATCCTGGAGTCTTATCCAGGGGAATGAGGCGGCAGGCCGTCAGAGCGTGAAGGTGGAGGCAGCACGAGGTTGCTAGCTTTCTTGCAAGGGCAACGGTGGCATTACAGAGATCACTTGCTATGGCGCCAAACTTAAGGGCCTGCCCCTCCCTGTGTTTTCAGTGGGTTTTTTTCCACACCATCCCAACTGTTATTTTCTCGAATATGACAGCATTTGGCGGGATATAGTCACCCTGGAACCTGATGCCTTCCTCCTTACTACTACTACTACTTTTTTTTTAACGTGGCTCCCACCCTCCCCCAATAGCCACACCTACTACTACTACTACTACTATTACTTTGTAGTCACTCGGAATTGAATATGATCATCCAACCATGAAACAATGATATGAATAATTAAAAATGTCACCTTCTTTGGTGACCTCTGGGGTGACTGGAGAGGCCGATACGGGACTGGCAGGGCAGTCCATAGATGTTACACATGTGGGGGGGGGGGGCTACATATAATGCAGGAGAGGCGACGGCAGCATCTTTCCGGAGTGGGCCCTTGTCTGCCTCGGTAAGCTGTCGGGCTAACTCTTAAGTATTGCCACCTTCCCGTGTGGTGTTCCACCAAGCGTTACTGTGCAAAGTGATCGTCTCCCAGGTGAGTCTTAAGACTATCCTTATTCTTATTCCGTTGACCGCCACCATTACGTTCACCATTCATTAGGTGACTGTAAAGTAGCTGTTTTGGCAGTCTATTGTCGTTCATGCCGGTAACATGGCCAGTCCAACGTTGTTGTTCATGGAAAATGGTAGCCTCGATGCTCCTACAGTTGGTGTCAGCGAGACTGCTGGTTTTTGTTCTCTTTTATTCCCAGCGAACTCGAGGATGGAACGTAGACTACGTTGGTGAAAGTTTTCAAGGGCCTTGAGGTGCCCCGTATATGTGACCCATGTCTCGCTGCCATACAACAGGGCGGGGAGGACTACTGATCGATATACGTGCAGTTTTGTTGATAATTTCAGGTCCATACAGCTGAAGTACAGAGTCTGATAAGGGCATGAGATGCACATCTGATCCGATTTTGAATCTCTTCATCGATTTGTGCGGTGGTGGACAGGTGTGGCAAAGATACTGAAAATGGTTAGCATTAGAGAGGGTAGTGCCGTTAACCTGGATTGATGGTGGAGACGTGGCTGAACCAGGGGCAGGCTGCAAGAGAATCCGAGTCTTATGTACATTCACCTTGAGGCCGAAGTGTGCATACGCATCTGTGTAGATTTTCAGGATCTCCCGTAGGTCGCTTTTAGTGAGAAAAGAAGGTGAGGTCGTCTGTATACTGAAGTTCAATGATGGAAGAAGCCAAGACGTTTTTAACAGCCTGGAGACGTCTTATGTTAAAAGGTCTCTTCATCTGATATTGGATGTCCACCCCGCCGGCTAAAGTGACACTAGGACGAGTAAGGAAGACAGCCAAGAAAATGGAAATGAGAGTTGGTGCCAGTACACATTATTTTTTATTTTTTAACCCCCATTTGAACGGGGAAGTACTCAGACTGGGTGCCATTGTGCAGGACACTGCCGTTCATGCCACTGTGGATTTGTCTCACAATGGCGATGAACTTGTATGGGCAGCCAAAACGACGAAGGGGTTCCCTGTTGACCGAGTCGACGTCCTTAGTAAGGCCGATGAAAGCCCTGTAGAAGTTACGACGCTGTTCTCTGCACTTTTCCTGTATCTACAGGCAGCAAATATTATGTCAGCGGTGCCACGTGATGGTTTAAAGCTACATTGAGATTCTGGGAGGAAGTTTTCCGCCTCAGGATGAAGTCTGTTGAGGAGGACTCGGGTGGTAATAACAAAATTTGTGTGTAAAAGTAATGATAATAATAATAATAATTAACTGTTTATTGAAAGAGCATGGCAGCCGGGTGGCTGAAAATATACAGTTATATAATTGGGGAATGGGTCTTTTGATTGACAAATAATATACAAGTAACATATGAGATGCAAATATGATATATAATAACTAGGTGGTTAGATGGTCATACTACAGGATGTTTCAATGTAGTGACAGTTCAAAGAGGTAAGATTGACTGGGAGTGAATACACTGGTTGATTACAGGTTGTTGATAATTTTTACAGTGGTTGGGACTGGGCTGTTCTTATAGCGATCATTACGTGCTCTTATGGGCTGGATGCGGTTATGGTGTCGAACAGGAATTCGCAGACGAGGGATCTCGGGTGGTAGTAGTAGTCGGTGTACTGTAGAGGATGGTACAGAAACTTCTCACGAAATTTACAGATGGGGTCGTGGTGATAATGAGAGAGAGCCGAGAGGGTTTTATGTGTTGAGCGTTTCTTGATATGTGGAGTAGGAAGGGGAGAGAATAATCTTGCATGCCCTCTTTTGCACTTTTTCTAGATGTTTACTTTGTGTGGCATTTAGGAAGGAAGACCAGGCAGGGAAGGAATAGGTGAGCTTGGGAAGTATGACTGTTAAGTAAACTCTGGGGAGCTCGGGCGCAGGAACTGCGAGGGACTTGAGTTGGCGCGGCAGGTGTCGACAGAAACTGGAGGATTTGACAACTTCACAGATGTGTATTTACCAATTTAGCTTGTTATTTATAGTGACGCCGAGGAGCTTAGTGGAGTCTACTACCTGAAGTGTGTTGGGGCCAAAAGTAATGGAAGGGGGTGGGACAACGTCGGAGGAGAGGTTGATGTGCATAACCATGGTCTTGGTATGGTTGATGGTGATTTGGTTGTTAGTGGCCCAATTTTGGAGACTGTTCAATAAATCCTGGATGGCAGTGTAGACATTGTTCCCAATGTCGTCGATATATTTCCAGCGAGCAGGGGTTTCTCTTAGGGCATCATTGATAAGCATAAGGAAGCAGAGCGGTCCCATCTTGGTGCCTTGGAGGACGCCACAGGTGAGTGACTGAAAAGTGGAGACAGCCCCCCCCGGAAGCGTATTGCTTGGCGTCGGTCACAAAGGAAGTCTGTAAGCCATGGTATAAGACTTCCACGAAACCCAAAGTCGATAGCTTTGTTGATGATTAAATTGTGGTCGACTAGGTCAAATGCTTTGGTGAAGTCAATGACGGCGAGAGCCACAGAAGTTTTTCGTTTTCCCAGATGGCGGTATATGTAGTCGAGAAAGCTGACAAGACAGTGAGTGGTGGAGTTAGATTTCATATTGCCATATTGCTGAGGATCCATGGCGCTTGCAATATCAGCATAAGCCGAGTCAAACACAAAATTTTCACTGATAAAGCTGGGTATTGGGGTGATTGCAATGGGTCGTAGCTCATTTAAGGATTGTGTGTGTGTGTGTGTGTGTGTGTGTGTGTGTCAGCGCTTTTGAACTAGAAATATTAAAACACTACCGTCTTCCAGGCTGTTACCAGATTCACCCCGGTGGTTGATTACTGAGGGTCGCTTTGAGGAAGCTCTGAAGATCATGACCAAGATCGCTAATGTCAATCGGAAACCGCTACCTTCTGACCCCGTCGTCCTCGCTGCTATGGAGAACATCGTTAAGCAGGTCAGACCAGGAACCATAGTGTTCGAGGAAACTAAACCCTGATGGGCTTGAGTTTGAACTCGTCCCATATTTTCTGTCTATCTTTCGGGATTAAACCTCAGAGGTGACGTTTCCTCATCCGCTTCTGATGTTTTATATTGGTCAATACTTTTAAACCCTTAGCTCTATTGGTTTCCTATCTTATATTATCTTCTTCTGGTAAATTACACCTACAAGTAAACTTTTCCTCACCAACTGTTGCTATCCCGTGTTTAGTCAGTATCTCCATCTATCAATCTCTACATTATTTGTATTGACGTCATCCTCAGCAATTTTGCTGCGTTTCCAGGGAACCCATGAGAAGGGGGAAGAATTGACCGACAGAGAGGCCACCATCATGTCTCGCTTCCTGGCAGTCATAAAGCAGGTCGTCATCTTGCTGACTATACGCCAGCTTAGACTCAGAACCTTGGTCGTGTTCTTCTGTTGGTTCGCTGCATCCATGGTCTACTATGGTATCGCCCTCAATGCTACAAACCTCAGGTATGTCGTCTTCCTAGATTGTCATGATCTATTCTGTAATGTCATATTTCAATGCACTAACTGGATGGAAATGTAGAATCTTGTTATGCCAGTGATGAAGCGTTGGTTCATTTGTCATTATCATTCCAACACATACCGTTCGACAATAAGATTTTCGTACCTCCTGTCTATTCTTGTGGTTTCAGATATGAGACTTATGTTGATATCTGTGGTTCCAACCAGTGTTATATTTCCCTCACAGCACAGACACTTGCTACATTTGGTTCATCTCACACAAAAATGTCAATTCAATCGTTACTGTTGTGATTGATTTAATCCTGCTTCGATATAGAGACCATTTTTTCCCTATTTATTTCACCACTCCTTTCTTTTTCCAATACAAAGGCTACATTCTGAAACTGTCATCACAACACTATACTGTATAATTGCTCCTCTTCCAGCACAAAGGCTGCTTATGCTCTTGTCGTTCCAGCAATGACT